CCGCGACCGACCAGTTCGAAATCCGCCAGGTTGATCCGCGGTTCGTGAGGGGGACGAAGGGGGGGAGGAAAAAACTAGACGGTGGAACTAACGTCGCTGGATGAAAGTCCCGAGGAGCTACGCGAAACTCTGTCAGTCGGTGCAATTGCGCCCGCCACGGCGCACAACTGTTCCTTCTTATTACGCGAGTCCCGCTCTCTTCTTCAGGGCTATTAAATCTGCGGTCCTTCAATGAGTCTTGAGGAAGACTCCCCATTGTTGCGCGTCGCAATTTTCGCTTTGACTTGCGACGCGAACATTGGAAAAGAGACTGAAATCGCGCCTAGCTAATCTGATGGTAATGGCGTTACTTGATTAAGAGGGTTCCTCGTGCAAAGGAGAAAAGGATCCCTTCGAGTAATCACAGTCGGGACTATCGATCACCGATTTCGATATGGCACTGTCCATATCGAAATGCTGGCACGAGTGAGTGAGTGAGTGAGTGAATAAGTGAGTGAGTGAGTGAGTGAGTGAATAAGTGAGTGAGTGAGTGAGTGAGTGAGTGAGTGAGTGAGTGGTGAGTGCTCTGAAAACTTCTCCCGGATTCCCGGTTAAAGAGTGAAATTCGTTGTTCTGCACAATGGCAAAAGATTTATTCGATGGAAGAGAAGGAAGGAACACCTTCAAGCGTAAGATCGAATTGCATATTTTAATTGAGGATTCTTCGTGGAATAATTCTGCGAAATAATTAGTTGAAGCAGGAATAATGCAGGAAGTTACTTACGTTTCGCGCGTCTTCCACCAGAGATAACTTTTACCTCTTTTCCGCGAGAGAATAGTCAAGGATACGTAAAGTAAACGTCCTAGTGATTAAACATGTACCGATAATTGAATTACTAATAATATACTTATATTTGTTAAGATGCTTATCAATAAATGAAACAAAATCACAAAGTAACTAAATATTTCTTTTCATTTATTATATTGTTTTGTATATTGAAAAGCATTTCAACAAAAAAAAATACAAAACCAATATGTCAATCATTGGGATATGTATGTTCGACCACTGGAACGTTTACTTTACACGGGGAGAATATTGTAGTAAAAATAACATATAAATTTGTGTAATCTTGGACCATACAGAATAATGACCGTGATGAGAATGCGGCCGAAGTTTAGCTCTATGTGGTACTTGAAATATTAAATTATCTCTGGGTAGAGTACGTATCTTTTTGAGTAATTTTCTCATGAATAGCAAGGCACATCACTCTGAGATACTGATATATATTTTAATCTACCCATTAATAGTTTTAATTTTATCAAAAAATCGTTTAAAATTTTTTGAATGCCACAAAATGGCGCTAAGAGCTTATGGAAGCTTGGCCGTTCTCTTTGTCTCGAAATGTGCACGTTTGACATTTTACTACAAAATTATTGTAATTAAATGCTCTTTATATCGCGTGTGTCAAGTAGGTCGTTAAATTTACTATTTCTATAGTAATTTATGTGTGTGTGCTACATAATTTCACAGTACAGTCCAACTTTATGTGAAAAGCACTGCGAAAGGGAATTTGAACGTAAGTTTCGCTACAATATTCTCTGCGTGCAACACAGTTCCCGGCGACTTGGTTCTTAATTGCGATTCAGATTGTTTCCGACGTCGTAGTCTCATCGCGGCGGAATATTCAGCCGCGGAAGTCTCATTGCCGTAAGTTGCCTCTCCTCTGTTTCGCGCGCATATGTTTAATGCAGCAGATATGCACCACGTGTGCTGGCACACGGGAGTTGCTCTCGAAGGGCACGTCTGGCTCCGACTGTCAAACACCTATACCCGTTCGTAACGTTCCTTCGCTGTCGGGCGCTATCAGGGCGTCGCGAATAACTCGAAATTTTTGCTCTCGATTTGTCGACCAACATGCTCAGAGTGCGTCTTAACGATAAGATGACTGCTTCCCAGCTACCTAATCGCTACTTTGACCAGTTTCGCGGCGCAAAAATGTCTTCCCGGCTCCTTGAACAAAACGCGTTTGGTTGGTCATTGATGCGTGCCATCACGGAGTCAGAGATTATCATTTCAAACTGCGAGTTCGAGTGATAAAAGACGACATTCGTTGTGCAGTGCGTTCGTAAACGACGAATCGATCCTTCCAACTTCACACGCGCGTCGGGATTTACTCAAGCAAAAAATTTCCCTCCTCAACCCGGTAGAATCTTAACTTCTTGTACCACTTCTTCTTCCTCTTTACCTCAATCGCTTCCTCGAGAATTCATTGAATTTGGTCGAACATGTCGCTGTGCGCGATGGTAGAATTTGCTCACACGCCCTGTCGAGTCTTGCCAAAGTCTCTGGAATATTATGCGCGGATTAGGGCACATTCTCTACGAAATCGTCGAGCGAGGATCTTGAAATGGGTTAATTCGGCGTCTGTGCGCCAAGGGACGGGGAAGGATTAGATTAATCACGTCGCGACGTTAAACCGCGATTCGACTAGACGGTTCTCCGTTTACTCTCCGCCGATATGAGGGTGCCACTGTTTGAATGATGGTTTGTCTATGCCGCGAGTGGAGCACGGCGATACGTCGCGTCGCGATTAGCAAGCGGATATGTGGAATAGATGTCCTATTATTTTTGAATTTTAAAGTTGCAAATTCTCAGGCAACTAATTATTGTGACTGATTGTGTAAACATATGATAGAGGCAACCTATAAATTTACGCCAGTGAAGCGAGCGGCGACGAAAAGTGTCGCGCGATATTGTACGCCGGCTGTGAATGCCATTCAATTTACTCGAACGCCGGGTAATCGGGTTTACGAATCAAGACGAATGAGTTCTCTTCCGGCTTCGTCATTCGAGCGATCGTCGGGAATGAAGGAGCGCCGGATGACCGTGAGATGAAACTCAGTTCAGTCGATGTTCGGTCGTTTTGCAATTTCGCCGCGAGTGTCGTGCCGTTGTTAAAGCAGCATCGAACGTGAATCTTATTTTGCATAATAAATTAAGCAGAAACAAGCGAAACCTTGAAAGACTCGCTCGCCAATGATGCCTTGACTTTTACGCCAGAAACTAAACTTGTTTGTTAGCAAGACACCAGCAGAATTGGCTAATAACTGTCTGCTGGTCATAACGGAATCGATCGACGATCAAGTTAATCGGAGCTTGGTAAAAGTCACCCTAAATAAAAAAAATATTAGCATTTATAATCCGTATTTGATCGATAAAGACTTTTATTCCATTTGTTGCAAAATTTACATTTCCTCTAAGGATTCTAACAATGCCACTTATTTGTTCAGATGTTTATTTTTTTGGGCCATTTTCTCCCAAAGTGACTTAAAACGGAACTCAAACGCTCGTACTCACCCACTTACGATGCACACCCCATTTTCGTGCGACGACAAAACTTCCCTCCGTCAAGTATTTCGTTCGCTATCGTTCGCTGCGAGCAACAGACACACCTCTGTCTTCTTCGGTCAGGCACGTCGCGCTCGACGGAATGACGGATCCTCTGTCACTCGTCGGCCATAGCCGAGAGCCGCGGCTAATTTTCAACTTTACGTCATACGCGAATGTTTTGCGCGACAGCTACGTTGTCGGGAATATTATCGTGAATTTTCAATTTCTCCTGTCGCGCCGTCGTCTCGCCTCTGTTTGTTCAAACGCAGTCGCAGTTTACTTTCCCGATTGTATCCCCGCAAAGTCTACTTCCTCCCGTAGAGCTTCGATCCTTTCGAGGGAAAACGACGTTTCCGATTACCGTAACAAATAAGGCCGGCTCGTACGTGAGCGGGATATTGTATGTGCGTGACGACGCTGCTTGGTAAATGTAGATTCGATAAGGGAAGAGAGACGACCGGTGTGGCGAAGCGAGATTGAATGTAGTCGTAACTGCTGGCTTAATGGCCTCTGACAGATACACCGTGTGCCGCGTTTTGTGCGCGAAATGGTGCGAGAGGAGTGTTTAATTACAGGATATCGCTCAGAGAGCGAGAGAGAAGGGGTGAGGGAGCAAGAGAGGTCGTGGACTAACGATACGCCGGTCCATAAATCGTGTTTATCGTACCGTATAAAAAAAGATTAATGACATAATTTGCGGAAGAGATTACTCATTAATTATTGATTACTACAGTTATATGATAATAATGATTATTATAATTATTATTATTGTTATAATACATATGAACAACACGAGGAAATAATTAAGAGAAATGCGTGCCGAAATAATTAAGAGAGCTGCGCAACAAATTTTACACACTCGACGAGCTAATTATTGTCCTGCACCTGGTAGGTGCGAGCGAAGCCGAGCTTTAGCAAATTTCACTTCCCACGGAGCGCAGAATGTTATTGATGATGGTAAAACCGACGATTCCGAAGAACCGTCCATTCTGAGGAAATCATCCTTTCTGGGAAAATCGTTCATTCTAAGGAAATCGGTCTAAGGAAATCGGAGGAGTATCCTCTCTATTGTTCTATTCGCGTCAGTTTGAAAAAGTTCTCGTATATTCGGGCGAAAGAGTTTATTCGAGCTAGCCTTGTTCGGAGAAATTATTTGTCACTCGTGAACAATAGTCCTTCCTCGTGGATGCCCAAACCACAGGGAGAATTCGTTCGTGTACGAATCCGCCGGAATTTTTATTTTAATTGGGATTTATTCGAGCAACGCTCGAATCCGAATCCGGCCCGCGGAATATCCTAGGTATTAGAGACTAGCGCGTAAATCCAAATGCATATTTGAATGTATGGGCTGTCGGGGATGTTCCGTAGAGCGCAATTGTGTCTCAGTGGAGATTCATCCGCGACCGCGAGAACCGCAAATGGAAAATCATCGTGAAAAGTACTTCAACCTGCCTGCCTGCCTGGCTGGCCGCGTATCGATCGGCCACATCGGGAGAGCGCGATCCTCCCTTCGTCCTTCCTGCGTAGGCCGCGCGGTCATTAGATATTTCCAGCGCCGATATGTCGACGTATTAATTCCCCTCCACTTTGTCGTATTCAACACATTCCGGTTTTCGATACTGGTTCACGCTCGTCTCCAATCTCAGTCGCCCGACTGGTTATCTCTCGTGCGAGAAGGAACGTCGAAGGTGGCCGTTGACCATCCACCGCCGCCGCATTTCTTCGCGAGATAGTCGAGCAGTGACAGCGTGTCGTCGCCTCAACGATGTTCAAGTATCTCGCCGTTGTTCTCGTGCTTTCGCACGGGATTCCAGGACAGATCCTTTATCCGGGTGCAAATGAACCGGGTGTCGCGAACCTTAGCGTGGCGAGAAAGGCGGATACGTACAATTGTAGCGCGGTCGCAGGTATATCTTTATCCGAGTTAACTTTTAATTCGCGAGCTTCCGATGTTCCTTCGCGGGAGAGAGACGTGCTTTCCGACACTTGGAATTTTCCTCGCGCCACTTTTCTTCGTTTCTTCTCACCTTTCCCCTAACGTACCGCCGACATTACTCTAGATTTTATCGCGAGTGTTCAGTCTTTCGATTTAGACCGACGTTTGGGACGACCTTTCGTATTTAGACGCATTTTTCCTCGTGAAACACGTCGAACGTGAGACTGTCGGTTATCACGCGAAGCTCAGGAATTTCCCGTGATTCACTTGCCTCTTTTATAGAGGAAATATCATAAAGGAAACAACGCACTTTGGAAAATTAAAAACGCGAAACACGCCTCTCTCTCTCCACTTTTCCCCGAAGAGCGACTAATGTGACCGACGATCCTTCCATCAGAGGAGTTAAGCAAGAAACCGACGGTTACGATGAACGGGAACACTAATTACCATGTGGGCCAACAGATCTTTTACGTGTACGGTGAGCAACAATTCAGGAAATTATTTGGGGGCGCTAAGAGCGCGGGAAACATCGAAAATGACTATCTCGTCACGGAGGGTATAGGAGCGCACAAGCTCCATCGTCGCAAGGTCATTTGGAACAAGGCCCGAAGGACTTGCATCGAAGAAGGAGGTAAAGAGAATCACTTACGAAACACCGCTGATAGCGATTATCGTCGTCACGATCATTATTATTATCGGCCATTGAAGTCCAAATTTGGAAATGCATTGCGCGCATTAGAATAATTCAGTCATCGCACGCTGCTTCGATTCATTCGACGCTTATCTCAAGTGACGCGATATGCGTAAACGAACGGCGATAATACCGTCCGGCGGATAATCTCTCTCATGATATTTTGCACTCGGTTAGGTCACTTGGCGATTATCAATTCGGCTTCCGAGGAGAAGATTCTCTTGCGCATGATGCAAGAAAAGAGCATAGGCGAAGCCTGGCTCGGACTTCACGACCTTTACGAAGAAGGTGACTGGGTCACCATCACCGACGAGGCTCTGGAGAACACCGGATACAGCAAGTGGTCGACGAAATTCGCGAATCTGCCCGATAATTACGGTGGCTCGCAGAACTGTGCGGTTCTCCTCACGGAGGGCGGCATAGACGACATCAGTTGTACAATAACGCAATCCTTTTTCTGCGAGATTTCCTTGTAAACCGGCAGGATGTTGGAGATTCGACCAGCCTGGTCGTTTATGCGCATTTATAGCAGAGTATATAAATAAATAATGAGTAAGCCTGTAACGTATTTACTCACTCAAAGGATTATTGCTCGAACAAAGGATTAGGTTCTCAAAGATTCGCTTTTATGAACGTCGCGTGTGATACCAGAACATTTACACGGCGAAAACCTTCTCTCCATTTCTCTCTCTCTCTCTCTCTCTCTCTCTCTCTCTCTCTCTCATGAACATTCGGAAGGCTTAAACCGCTTTGTGAGAATCCGCTTGTGTAGAACGCAACGGGGATATAGAGGGATCCAAGGGAAACCCAAGCGAAGTCCGAATATATCGTGGCTATCGATCTCGGAATGATTCCATGAGATTCAGCGAAATCGATTCCGCCAACGCGAATAATGCCGCCTCACTAGGATGGATACCCTGGATCGATTCACCGATCTATTACCCTTTGTGCAAGAAACACTCGAGCGCGTTTCCGTAACAGGTAATTGGCAATTAAGAATCGCGAAGGGTTCGCAACGTTGGCTATTAAATCGCGCGAAATCACGTGTGCGCTTATGTCGTGTGCCAGCATCACGTTTGTCCTGGAAAGTCACACAGAAAAAGAAGGCAGCTTGACTGCTGCAAATCCACCAGAGCGTATTGATGTTTGGGATCCCTGAGGTGGTCGAACAAGCCAAACATTTGGAGGTTTGAGATCGAGTCTTGGGTCTTGTTTGTCTTCAATAATCTCAAAAACTGACAGATCGAACCTGTCAGAGGCCGAAGGTACATTCGAAGCGTCCGTACTACAAAGTTAGCTGATACGTCCGTGTTGCTCGCCGCACAGCTGGATCGCGCAAACTTGAGCGCGAAACCTCGGCGCCGCGACTCCCAACCGCGAACAGCGAGCGTCGCGTATCACGGATATCTGTCCACGACGGTTGGATGCTTCTTGCGCTTCGCGCGACTCCCCATTTTCGCGAATCAGGTCGCCGTGGTGGCGTATTACCCGGCCACTTCGGCCGTCGCTTTTGTTACGACGAGGTCGAGCCCGCGAGCGACGCTGCGTTCTCCACGCGAACAGCACGAAATGCATAATATTCAGGGAGGATTTTCCGGAGGAGCCTGAAGAGAAGCGAATCGATATTCCTCTCCCGTACGGCGAGGCAGAGCGGAAATATGCTGGTATTGTAATTCGCGCGACGCCGAAGGTCGGGCTTCCTTAATGAACCGAAATCCTGCCCGCCCGCTCATCCGCGTAATCTCTCCGACCATGGGAAAAATCTGCCCGCTTCTCTCACGAACAATAATCCTTCGACCGTGTATCCTTAGGTATACGCGCGCATTTGTGGACCCGGAGGACTGCCAAGGATAGCTCGCTCACAACACCCTCTTCGACGATGCTTCCTTTGCTCTTTCGCGAGCGCGAAGCACTCGATTGCGCGTGTGACCGACCGTACACGCTTCTCAAATGTCGCGCACCGAGAGAACAAAACGATTGATTTAACTAAAATTATAGTTATTTGGCTCACCCGATTCTTTGTAGAAAAACAATAATACGCGCATAGAGTCATCGCTAACATTGTAGTAGAATCTAATAGACGATGGTTTTCTTGGCCGTAATTTATGGCAATTACTTCTCAGTGTGATTACAGTTACAGATACCAAATATATTTTTTCTCAGTGCGGAAAAATCCGGTCTCGAACTCTTCACGTCGCTCAATTGCGCGACCTGACCGACCGTTCGCTGCAGCTCACGAAGGACGAAGGAAATCGGGGAGGCGAGTCTCTCCCTCGGCTTGGAAGATTCGCGAAAAACGTCTCGCATCGAAAGTAGCGTGGAGCTTGTGCCCGCGCATGTACCTCGCCTCGATATCCCGGCGCTGTCAGCCGTGCTCGGAAAATTCGAGGAGATCATTGAGTACTCTTGAGTGCGAGCGACAGGAAGCGGTCGAAATTCGATTTAGCGCGCGAGCCTCGATAACGGTGTCGTGCTATCGCGAGCTGCGGCGTTCCTCGTTTCTGCCCGCGCTTCTTCGCCCCCTTCTTTTCCTTCTCTCTTTTTTCGGCTTTCTTTTTTCCCCTTTGACGCTTTTCTAACGTCCGAGCTCTCTCTCGCGTCTTTGTCGCCGTTAAAGGTGCGGAAAGTTTACCTATCCGCTCGTGTAAAAGACGCCTTTTATTATTTGTCGTGCGCGCGCGCCAGCCTCTCGACAGCTTCACGGTGTGCTGCGAGTAGTTGCTTCTCGCAGTAATCTTGGCGCACTTAATTGGACATCGCCAAGAGCGGTACGGATAGGTACTTGTCGCAAAGTGCTGAGTTCGCTGGGTAAGCCGGTCCACGACCACGTCGCCAGCCATTTTCCGCGGCTTCCGTAACTTCTATACGGGCGCACTTGTGTCGCGACCTGAGAGGAATCATTGACGGCCGCGGCGAGACGGTATCGTTGTTCGTCGATTCGTTGTTGCGCGTTGCGAAATTGTCGTTGTCTTTTACTTTGATCTTACCCGGCGAACGAGAAAGAGTTCGGTGGAGAAAATTCCGAGAAATTTCCGTGCACGGGAAGAAGAGATACGATGCCTGTAGCCAGAAGTATTCAATTGTGAGCAGCGTAGTTGCATCAGTTATCTTCGTGTGATGGTAATGTGTATGGTTGATACGACTCAGTTACATCAACTACATCAATGTAGTTGCGCGTGATCTGGTTGTGGCAATCGGAAATTGGTTGGGGTAGCATTTATCATGCGTACACTCTGGTTGGAGCAACCAGATACAGTCACTGCTGCAACGCCACTCGCACAGAAAATATCTTGGGATCCAACAGAAATACAGGCCAATTTTCCAAAGCAATCACGGCTTCTGATGAAGTGAGAATATTTTATAAGTGGGGATTTAATAGTCTAAAAAAAGTTTTCTCCCTATATTTTCTACTCTTCATTCAATAAAATATATTGACTTTCCAATCTGGATGTTCTAGTCAGAGTCTATGCTACGTTTGGGAAAATCTTGGAAAATTTCTATGTGAGCAGTAACTCAGCAATTGCTTTGTGGTTGCAGTAACCACACAATTAGCTGTACCGTATTTTCCTATCGCGTCTGGCTGGCACAAGCAAATTTATGTGTGAGCCAATCATACTGTTTTTTTCCGCGTAGACACTCGCGTGTATGTCCGAGCGCTACCAGATATTCGCAACAGATCCATCTCAGATCTTCTTCTTGCGCTCTCAAACTCGGCCAGCAAAAACTCATCAGAGTCGGCTGCGTCGATTTAATAATTCGGGCGTTAATGAATCTCCAGCGGCGAGAGACCGCGAGAGCGCGATAAAACGCGACGAGCGCGCTCATCTGTTTAGTTTCGTTTTAACGGCGGCGGGCGCATTATTGCCTTGCTTTAATTAGTTCCCAAGACGTACCACCAGAACCAGTTACCGCTACACCTCAGTTTCCGGACTGGCACGAGCAGGAACAGCGCTCTGTGTGTGTGTGTGTGTGTGTGTGTGTGTGTGTGTGTGTGTGTGTGTGTGTGTGTGTGTGTGTGTGTGTGTGTGTGTGTGTGTGTGTGTGTGTGTGTGTGTGTGTGCGTGTGTATGTGCGTATGTGTTGCGCCACGTAACACGGCGCGCGCGTCACCGTGCGTGTCGAAGTCGTCTTCGTACGGTCGCCGGCTTTAATCGCCGCGGTAAGACTTCCGTGAAGGTGAAACTCCGAAGAAGGGGACCGAGCGAATCGACGGCGACGACGACAACAGCTACCTTTCGCGTTGCTCGCGCGACCAGTCGCGCTTAGACGGTCTCCGTCCGAGGAACCAAGCCGCGTCGAGCTCTCTACCTCCTCCGCCTTCTCTCTTTCGCTTCTCTCTCCGAAGTCGCTCACCTCATCCGGTTCAGTGCTCGCGTCTCGTGCTCCTCGTCAGCTTCCTTGAGGCCCCCGCGTATCGGGGGTCTTGTTGTACGTGTACTTGCGCCGACGACGACGACGACGACGACGACGCTGATCGCCACGAGCGACTCTAACGGGAACATGCTGGTGATAAGCGCTCTGAAACAGGTGGCGAACGCTGCCACCAATGCGGTTCATTCGGCCACTGGCAACGTTTCCGGGCACGCTCATAACAGTTCCGGTGAGTGCAGATCGAGCAGTGCTCGTCTTTGACATTCGCGCAGTTACTTTTGGTCGAACTCTCCGTGAATTCGCATTACGTCCCATTTGCGATCGGTACGTCGCGACCTCGCTCGACTACAATTTCGTTGGCTCGTGCTTGCTCGACATCGAGCTTTCCTTATCGTACAATGATACTTCTGTAATGGCAGATATCATCCGTGCTCCTCGTCGCTTTAACGGTAAAGGTTCGCATTCACCGCTTGTAGAATTTGTACTCGTGCTATATACAGGTGAAACTATCTAGCGTGTATCGCGTTCTCTTTTACCTTCTCTCCGTCTGTTTGCCTCTCTTTCACTCTCTGTCTCTCTCTCTCTCTCTCTACCCTTCTCTCCTTCTCTCTCTCTTCCCTTCTCTCATCCTCTCGTTCCTTTTTTCAGCTTTTCGGTTCAGTCCACGGGAAAGCATCCACGCCGTACACTACACATTCGTATTCGCACAGAAATATCGCTTGCGCAAAATGTAAAAGGTTACATGGAGGCGCGCAGGCACGACCGACCTCCATCGGTTTCATAAGAACGGTACTGCAGCAAGCGTTAACTTTCTTGCCACGCCTAATGTCAAGATCGCAACGTCAATTACATATAGATCAATTCGCGGGCTACATGCGAAAGCGTGTGTGTGTATACGTATCCCAGTAGCGTCGGCTGGGAAAAATACATCTCTCTAATTACGAATGCGTATCCCATTTATTAGTGTTCAAGGAGAAATCGCGAGACGATATTTCGCGTGTTCGCGTCGGCCGATCCATAGGCGAGTGAGGACGGTCGAAAGAGTCAAAGGGCTCAGTGCGGGGGGGATTTTTCATTTCATCTGCTCGCAAACGCCAAGCGATCGTTCGCGTTTTACGGGAAACACCGGCGCTTTTTATCGAGAGAAATTTTCCACGAGTAATTGCGAAACCTCCTCCTTCTCTTCCACCTGCCTGC